TGGCGAAAGTTCAGGGAATATTTGAAGCTCTTCAGTCTCAGATAAAAGGGTTGTTAGTCTTTTGAATTTGGTGACAGTGTCACAGTAACGGACAGGTATTGGCAACCTGTCCCACAATAAACTATGCCGCACTGTAAAAAACTCACAACGCATTTGTTCCTGGTGTTTTACGGTGAGTAGTGTATATGCGTTGTTTCCAAGTCTATAGTCCGGGTCATAGATCATATTTTGGCAGGAGGTTAGAAACGACGGTTCATATATTGCTTTGTAGTGAAATATTAAATTGTTCATTATCTTACGGTGCCATAAAGCTCAAGAGAGATGTTTACATCTATCTGTGTAGTCGAGAGTGGAGTCATTCCTAACAGTTTGGAGTGTGAAGCGTGTTTGAACATCTACTCCTATCTTGCCTGTGGTATTCACATTTGAGAAGATGAAAAAGCAATATTCAAGGTAGGGTCGTGTACATATTTTGTCAAAGGTAATCTTGGCTCCTGTTATGACGAAATAGGTCATTATAAAGCCAATTAACCAACTAGATTTAGAAATCATAAACGAGGCATTTTCTTCAAACATTAGGCTTCCTGTGTAAGTAATACCTAGATCGCGAACTGATCTCAGTGTTTGAACTTTACTTTTACTTGAGAGAGATTGTAAATCATTGGGACGTTTTTCGAAACACAAGATCCCACACTTGTTGAGGTTAAATGGTGATTATCATTTATCTCTCCAGATAGGTCATTCAGGTCACTTTGAATTTGGGATACAATTTCACCTAGGGCTCCATGCTTGAGGCTGTAAATTATTTTGAGGTCATCAACGTATAAGTATGGTCTCCAAGATGTTATGGTGTTACACACGTCGTTTTATTTGGGAAGCATCGCCGATGGACAAGGAGAGACGGATGCAGACGTAAATGGGAGGATTGGTAAAGCAAGTGTTGCATTCCTGCAATTGAAGGACATATGAAACTCAAAACAACTGTCAACCAACATCAAAGTCAGAATTTTCAATACGAACGTCAAGATATCGTACGGGGCTGAAACTTGGAGAACTACTATTACCATCATCAAAAAGGTACAAGTATTTCTAAACAGTTGTCTACAAAAGATACTCAGCGTCTGTCGGTCTACTGTGAGAGGGGACAAACCAGTTTCGAGTTGAAGAGGAAATTATGAAAAGACATTGGAAATGGGTAGGACATACATTATGGAAATCACCAAATTGCATCTCGAGGTGAGCGCTAACTCGGAATCGTGAAAGGAAACGGAAACGAAGAAGGTCAATGAACACATTAATTCGAGAAATAGAAACAGACATGAAAAGGAGGAATAGCAACTGGAAGGAATTGCCCAGGTCCGTTTTGGCTGTAGAATGCTCGTGTTTATCCCATGCTACTTCTCCAACTATAATATTCAAAAGTGGTTTTGAGCAGCTCAACCTATCATCTTTTATTATATTGCTTAACGTGATTGTAATTATTCGATAAATTATTTTATGATTCATCAAACCACTGGTATTCTTCAAGCTTCGTTGTATATGACGTTTTTTATTGGCTTATATGCTGAAGAGATGCAAAACATGTCTGCTTCACAATAATTGACATCCATGATTCAAACTTTAGCCGATCAGGTCCTGGTTGAACTGCTGGAAAAATCACCAGTTACAGGATTAGATGCACAATCACCACTGGTAAGTGTGTAATTAAATATTCAGAATCTAGATGTTTTTGATATGAAGTATTTAATTTTTTATTTCAGAACATAGTGTCAGTAAGGCTTTATAACCGTTTTGCGACTTGATAAGAAATTTATTTTTAAAGAAAGCGTCATCACATGGTCAGCATTAATTCAGAAAGTGATGCAAATAATGGTAAGAAAGCAACGTCTTGAGAAATTTTGTAGATCTTCGTCGCTCTATCGAGTCATAACCAAGAATAGTTGGCTTTTTCGTCCTGTAATGTATACAGAGATTAGGCGGGGCCTACCAGTGATTCAAAATAGGTCTTTGATACGTTTGTTGAGATTATGGGAAGTACGTTTTTCGCACAAATTTTCATTGGATCGTAACCACAATCCTCAAAGCTGAACATGAAATAACTGGGAAAACAGATACTTAACATTTAAAGCGGTGAAAAACCGAGCAATCGAAGAAGCGGAAAAACGAATTCAGCTAATCGGGTGGTATGGCTCAGCCTTGCAGGCGTGGTCTTTCTTGTGTAACCTATCCCTTTTATTCATATTAACTATATTGTTCTATCTCCAGCCTAAATGCGTTTTCCATCATATATTGGTGATTGTTGCGACACTATGAGTCGGTGTAGACAATGATGTGACTTCCACTTAAGATCTTCGAGATTATACAGTAACATCATGGCAAATCTACAATTTCGGGGTTACGTCTGTTACTGGAGCAGTACTAATAACGAAGTAGACCATAATTGTACAGTACAAGTAAGGACAGTCAGTACAACGCAGAGACATGCCATCGATATATTATCTTATTTTCACTCTCGCTCAAGACTTTTCGTTAAGAACTAAATGTGACGAAGAATAGTGTCTTTACTTATGACCTTCAACCGCTGGTCAAGGCATACATACGTTGCATAATGCAGACGGAATATGATGAACAGTATTGTTTGTCTCATGTTTACTGTACAGCTTAAACTATTACTTAAGAGTGACTTCACAACTGGACAGAGGGTTTGTAGTATATTAAGCAGGAAGTTAGTATTGATATATTAATAAAATATATATTCCAGCTAAGGAAGGAACACTTCACTGTTTCAGGCATGGGAGACATTATGCCTCCCAAGTGTGGCTGCTAAATAAATGAAATAATTAAAAATAAAAGCAGTACATTATGGCACAAGTCTCAGAGCGTTAATGACTAGGTTATGTCTTAGTATTACGCTGAATTCGGAAATGGCATCGCGTCCATATTGCACAACGGGTTCAAACTCGGGACTATTGTGTAAGAATTCTAGTCGTGCTATGCATTTATGCCATACAACTTTTAAATTTACAGCTGAGTTTAAGTAAATTTATAAAGCACTTGGTGTGGACTGTGCCCTTGAAAAAACGTCAACATTGCCTCAGGAGATGGCTATTCAGTGAACACATGCAAGCTGTGACTCCTAAATGGCATGAGGTGGCTCTTGAAAACTTCACCGACAACTACATGGAGTGGTCTAGTCGTAAAATGAAGAGGCATCTGTTGACACGTGATGTGTGTATAACGGTGTATTGACGAAATGTAACAATAACGAGGAGAAAAGGTGACGAAGTGGTCTGATGGACCATGATTTCTCTTCCGGATGTCCTGCCGAGCTTGCTTGTTCTATTCGGTGTCTAGTGCAGTACTCTTTGGAAGAGGATGTTCGCGCAATATTGTGAATTCATTATATTAGGACATAATTCATCCACCACGAAACTGGGTTCGGTTATTTTATTCCTAAGATTACAGACATTTGTGCGGCAAGCACTTAAGCTATTTTAAGAATCACTCGTTCTTCCCATATAAGTATTGGAAGTGTTTGTTTTCAAGACCTAAGACTCATCAAACACTTTCACGACAATACAAGAAAACTTTGTATAAAAGTTGAACTCACGGGGTTGTCTCACTTATTAGCTTGGCTAAAGACACCCTTGCCTAGAAACTCTCGGTTAAACATCCATATCAGATCATGTCCAGGTACTCCGGAAGATAACTAGTCAATTTAGATTGTATGTACCTCAATCTGCCGATCACCGCCCAAATATGTCTTCGAGTTCCTCAGTTCTTGATATGTGATGTGACCGACTTAGAGCATCTCTGTTTAGGAAGAGGTTTCGGATGACAATATGTTTATCCATGTATATCCTCATATTTTTTTAAGAGGTTCGATTTACCGCTTATGATATTGAGGCTGCTGGTTTACTGTGTTTGTGTGCCGGGACATATAGTTAAGTTGCACTTTGTACCCATAGAAAGCTAATAGCTAAAGCCAGACAGGGAGTTAAAAGGATTTCTGTAGAGTTTCACAGGGTTTTCATTCGATTTCAGCATCAAGAGTGTAGTTTCTCAGTTAGTTTTCAACTTCAGGTGTCAATCTAACTATCGGTTGTGAATTAAAAAGTGTTAGTAGAGTATGATGCAAAACGCGTTTATTGCTAGACTGTTGCAGTGATCGATGATTTCGTTATAAAGTGGGGAAACCCACCACAGATTGGACAGTTTTGGCAATTGACTGTCTAGAGCAACCAAACCAATCCAGTGAGTTTTTTTAAAAACAAGAACAGCCTGAGCTTGATGAGTCACTTTAGAAAGAAAAGTTATCAAAAAGGCTCACATCGAATGCTCGTTGACCAATAACCTTATTCACTCTTGACAACTTTGTTGTAGCCAAACTTTGTCTAGACACGGCATTACGGAACAGTCTATCTGACCACTATTGAGCCATTAGATTACCTCTTTCTATGATGGCCGTGATAAGTTTTACCGTTCGTGCATTTCGATAATAAACAGATTGTGGCGTACCTTCTCAGCTAGAGTGACGATAATCTCACTTCCACGAGCAGCTGAGTGCCTGGATTAATCACGTTGCATTTTCAAAACCCTAACTGTAGGAAATAAAACTGTACATTTATGCCACGTGAAGAAGCTGCAAGGTGTAGGTTTCGAGGGTCTAAGATGGGATTAGTTTAGGAATATGTTCGTTAATGATGTGATTACAAAATTACATAAAAACGTAAAGTATCAGAATAAGCAGGGTATGCACAGACACATACGAACCGAAACAAAGAAAAAACTGACAGAACTCTTCTAAATCACCATATCATGGCGGACTCACAGTTATAGATGCATCGAATAGGACGATAGAACAAGACCATAGTTTTCTAGGCATGCCACTTTTCGTTTGTACAAAAAAATCTGCCTCGATGAAAATTAAAAAAGTTAACAAATGCTCCTTAGTCTACCTTACTATCATGAGTGAGATTGAAATCACTCGAACCAATCTTATCTTGTCTTAAGATGTTGGAACTTGAGTGACCTTGTCATTTTTGATCGGAAGTTGGACGCGTCGTTATGGCTGTTGGTTGCCTTATAATTTCTAAATTAAGATCTTTTTCATTACAGGACGACATTTTAGACTTTGAAAGTAAGAAAAAGAAGAAATCAAAGCCTCTTGTGCATGATTTTAAAGATGAACCCGGTAATTTGGGGAACCAAGATATTCTGGACTTTGGTTCAAAGAAGAAGAAAAAGGACAAACTCTTAAGCTTGGACGACGTGGGTAACAAAGAGGACGTAAGTAATATTCTCATATACTTCATTTTGCAGTCACGTCAGGAACGGGAATTTCATAAGAAGGACCCAACAGAAAACGGCGTTAAGCAACTTACTGAAAAACTAACGGATGAGCTCAATTTCTCAGATAAAAAGAAAAAAAAGAAATTCAGACCGATTGAAGTAGATGAAAATGGGGTTTGCGAGCCAAACAGTACGTCTGAACTTATCGTCAGGGATTCATCGGGATATGATTATGAAACGGTAAGTGTCTACTACTGTCTTCTTACTAATCTGAGTGTGTGTTTGGTGCCTTATGAGAATGATGTCAACTCGCTTACGTCTTTTCGCGAAGTGAAACCCTTGAATTACCTAAACGATAGTGCGAGCATCAGCTTTTCTGTAAGTTCACCCACTTTATGAGTGGTACGTCTGTCGCCTGCTATAAAACCCCGTTTCTAGCTGGCTTGTAGGGATAACCTCAGTATGACTATCTTGCATCAAGACGGCAGCATAGTACGTCTACTTGTCGGAACTTATAGACCATAGCAGTACATAGCTTTAGCGTATATTGTGATTTGTAGACCTCAAATTCTTCTTGGGATATTAAGTTTCGACAACTTTCCCACTTGGAGAACATTCGGAATTGCTTAGCGATACGTACCGGACGGAAAGTTCAGAGTAGAGTAACTGAAACGAATGATCCTGCTAAACGTTATTAAGTGATAACAATTCTCTGTCCTTAAAGTAATGGACTGCACAGTTTTAATGAGTTGATCGGTTAAAACTGGGGCCTCAGAGTGTAGCAATTGATCTGATGTGTAAACATCTGGTAGAAGTTAAAGAATAAAAAAACGGGTCCACGCGCATGCTTTTGGGGTACGGATTGTGCCATGATGACCCTGCGAAGTTACCTAAACGATTGTTAACAATGATCCTTTTACCTAGGGATGGAATGCCACTCTTAACGCATTCTATTAGACCATTTCAATTACCCTAACATATGCTCTACACTTTTAATGCTTAATGTTTCTAGTGTATCTTATTTACATCCAAGACAATATACCTCAATAGTGATTGTTTGGATTTGCTGATACTATTCTCTGTATCTCAGACTTTTCTGGCAGGGCTTACTCTGTTTTGTCCTATGTTGGACGGCTGACGGTTTATATTGATTTATCTTTACAGGACTAGCCTTTTTCGCACCTTTTTGGAATACCTGTTAAATGGAAACCGAGTAGTAATGATCCATTATATTTTCGATATCAAAAACAGCTTGTAATATTTGCAGAGAATAAGCTATAAAGTAGCTGGTGTAACAGGTTCTTACTTTCGAGATTGAGTCTGAATTGTTACTATCCCAGTGGTTTTCACTGCCACTTTTCCATTCAAATGATTGTTATGGTGGTATTTCTCAAGCTGTCTATGTGGTTGGAACTAAGTGTATTTATTATTATTATTATTTTCATTTGAACACATAAATATTGGTACAAGGCGGCACCAAATGTATGTGCGCCACACAAAACAATGAGGATTCGAAAAGAAAAAAAGAGCAATGGCGAACAGATTAGTGTAAGGTAGTGTAATAATAATAATAGTAATAATGGGGGAACGGAAAGGTACAATCAGAAGAAATCTTTCAGTTAAGGAAAAAACAACCATTTTTTAACGAATCTTAGTTAGGCGTCCGATAATTATTGAGGCTAGTATTTTAGATATTATATTAGTTAAACTAATCCCTCTGTGGTTGTCACAGGATGATTTTGATCCATTCTTATATATTGGGACGATAAGTGATTGTAACCAGTCAGGTGGAATTACGTCGAACTCCCAGATTTTAGCTAAAATATTAGTCAACCTAGTCGCTAAAATTGGACCACCATCCTTAAAGACTTCTGGAGCCAGTCCATCTGGACCAGCTGCCCTTCCTCGTTTCAGATTAACTATAGCCTTTTGAACTTCAGCCAGAGTTGAGGGACCTACTTCAATGTTCCATTCACGCTGTCTGGGAATGGAGGGTAGTTGTAGAGTAGCTGAAGGCCAGTTGAACTGTTCTCTGAAATGTTCCGCCCATCGTTCTAAACGTCTGGACTGGGAGCAGATGAGAGTATCGCCTTTTTCCGATATGATCTCACTTACACTTGACTTATTAATTCCAGTTTCTTTTATTAGTCTGTAAAGCTGTCTTGTGTTCCCTATAGTCGCCGCCTTTTCCATCTCTTTTGCTTTCGTTGCCCACCACTGCTCACGGTCGTTCCTTAGACTTTTGTTTAACCAAGATCTGATTTGTTGTCGCTCTTCATCATGTTCGGAACCTGATGGTATGAGTTTACGAGAACTCATCAGTTTAATAGACCTTGAAAAAATCCGTTGGTTCTTTGTAACCTTGTGGTTTAAATTACTGTTAGATGTCACTACTGTTTCCACAGCTGCTTGTATATCTCTCCAAGCTACATCTGGGTCAGCCTCATTTTCAGAAATATCTAAGTGTGACCTTGTTTGTTCCTGGAACATACTTTTGGTTTTCTCTCTACTCAATCCAGTTCTAATGGGTCTTTTTAGTGTGGCTGTTTTGCGTTCAGTGAGACGCAAGCAGATGCATGCCCGTATTAGGGCATGGTCGGAGTCCAAACAGGTACTCCAGAATGAGCGACAATCTTCTATCGACCCTCTCCAACGATGACTGATGGTAATATAGTCTATTTGAATACATCGTTGGTTTGGTGAAGGGGGTCGTCATGTTAGACGATGTCTCTCCTTATGCTTAAAATTTGTTTGCTAAAAATAAACGATTGCCTGAGCACAGTTGCAGCAGACGATAACCATTAACTATTCGTTGTGCCTGAATACCAAAATACACACTTAAATGCCTTTCTGTTTGGTTTAAACTACCTATCTGGGCATCCAAGTCACCTGCTACGAGTACTATGTCTGAACGTTTAGCTTTCTGAAGAAGTTCAGATAGCTTTCTGTAAAATTCATCTGAGCTGCAGTCAGTGGGTGCGTAGGCAGAAACGACAATAAAGGCAACGACGTGTGTCCCCATTCTTGCGGAGCCGTTTAGCCGAACAGCACATGAACGACTGTTAACGGGGATCCACTCTAACAGTGCTTGTTCCACCCTCATGCTTAGTGCTATGCCTACACCTGCCAGTCCACGAGAACTGGCCGTCGGGTCACCAGATACACGGAGGGTTGATCTCTTTGGCTCTCCGTTTTGCCGAGGTGAGGTCAAGTGAATGACCACACTGGGATCCTGTATGCGTGTTTCGGAGACACAGCATACATCAATGGAAAGAGACTCTAGGGTTCTAGCCAAGGAAGCCTGCTGACCGATTTGACATAGGGTGCGTACGTCGAAGGCTCCAATGTGTAGTTTGGAGCGAGGTTTCAGTAGACCTGGGACGGTGTTTTGCGCACTAGAATCGTTGGCTATGGCGACAATTGAGGAAGAAGCCGAAAGAGGAAGCTTAGGCTTGAAAGTCGATTTAGGAGGGATAATAGGAATTGAAGAGTGAGGTTGATTGGATTGGAGGTGGTCTTAGTGACCTGAGAGCGTTACCACAGTGCCCAAGGGACAACTGCTTGAGGTCGGTCACACACGACCTTTTTATGAGTAATTTTTGTGTTAGCTCCGTACTTGTTGAGACCTTACCGCCGGAGAATGAAATCCGTGGGATAAGATTAGTTGTGCATTTTTAGGGTCAACCTTTCCTAACCTCACCCTTCTATTGTGGGAAGGCAGTATCATTGCTATGCTGGTTGTCTGAGAGAAACCCCTTACTGCTGTCACACTTTTTCACAGTTAGTAGTGCGACTTCACCCTCGGACCTTGGGTTTGCTGCTTTTAGTCGTACCGCTCTTCAACCAACCTGTCAGTCATTGTAGAACCTTGAGGAACGATTGTTCCAGCCAGTATAACTCGGTTGCTTCATCACGATGGGCAAGCCCGACCATCGTCATGGTAGCAACAACGGTCGGGATTTGGCGGAGGGTGAAGATGTGGTCAATACATCCTCGAATGGAACGAAAACCAGCTTGCTCCTCGCGAGTCAATCTTTCTCGGGTTTTGAACAACCTACAAAGTATGACGGAAGCCAATAGCTTGGACGTAATCGGAAGTAGACTTATCCCACGATAGTTGTTACAGGAACGACGTGAACCCTTTTTAAAGATAGGGACAACTATCGACTCATTCCATGACGTCGGTACACTCTAGTTCCCAAACCTTTGTAAACAACGTCGTCAATTCCTTAGTCAAGAAGTCACCACCATCTTTAAAAAGAGCCGGAGGTAAGTCATCTGGGCTAGGTGATTTGTAACGCTTCAAGAGTTGGAGTTCCTTGCGGACTTCCTCCTCGTTTGGTGGATCAGTCGTCACCGGCCATGGAGGGCAGGACAGTCTGACCGATGCTGCCGGAGCAGCAGGCCAGTTGAACTGCCCTTTGAAAAATTCTGCCCATCGTCCAAGACGTCGATGGATGTTAGTGATTGGCATCCCGTCATCCTCGGAGATTGTATGTATCATTACCAAGGTTTGATTTAATAATTTCGAATCAATTGAGCATTGGGTAGATTGTTATAAATAAATAAATAATATATTTGTAATATCCCAATGAGTAGAAAATTAGATTTTCTGACGTTTCGTGACTTAGTGCAAGTCACTTCTTCAGAGAATAAATAACCAAATTAAAATTAATCCAAGTTATTTATTCTCTGAAGAAGTGACTTGCACTAAGTCACGAAACGTCAGAAAATCTAATTTTCTACTCATTGGGATATTACAAATATATTATTTATTTATCCTCGCAGATTGTTTCGCTTACATCAGACTTCTTGCTGCTAGTGGCTCGGATGAGTTGGAAGAGCTTCCGGCAGTTACCAGATGCAGCTGCTGCTTCCAGCTCATTAGCACGCTCCGACCACCAGGCTTCTCGGTCCTTACGCAAGCTTTGCCCAATTTCATTACGTAACAGTCGTCGTTTGTGGTCAGACTCACGATCACCCGGAGTAGACCGACGGGCTTCGAGGAGTTGTAAGGAGCCTGAAGAAACCCAGTGCTTATAAGCGGGACGTTTCGCGAACCCACAACTGACTGTACCCGCCATTTTCATGGCGTCATGCAATTGCAACCAATGCTCATCTATACATTTCGGTGGAGTGGTAGCTAGCCTAGAGGCTAGCTCATTTCGATACTTACTAGCAACAGAAGTTGCAACCAGCTTGCTAATATCAATCCGTTGATGGCGGTCACTTCGCTGTCC